ATCTATCACATGGAAAGACCATTGATTTGTCGGAGGGAACTCCATTACAAAGACAACACAATCCCTACTGAGCAGGACACGGACGGTACTTCAGTGACTTGCATTATAAAAAAACAACAACACAATGATGATTTGAACAGCAGAAAGGATAGTTTTCTAAGCCTGAATGTGTTTCTGTGTACTGTACGTGTTGATTTAAGTTGTTAAGTGGGTTTATTGTGAATGGTTTTTGCATCCCAAAAGCTTTTTGTTTTGTAAAAGTGCACATGCTATGTTTGCAAGTAAACCAAAGTGGACCTTTTTTTTGGAAATAATATATATATATATATATATATATAAAATAGAGACAACTATGTAGAATGTATTCAGTGGAAAAGGAATAAAGGCACTTTCATTTATACCAGATTTTTTAATTATTTATTTAACATAAACATTTTTTTTGTAAATATTCCTATTGTGAAAACAAACAGACAAAAAAGCAGAATATATGTGATCAGTTTATGAAACTGTAATGTGTCTGTGTGTCATTTTAAAACCTGTTGCCTGTGATGTCATACTGCTCCCTGTGATTGGCTGAAACACAGTTGGCAGATTTGTGACAAAATTGAAACTAAAATGAACTATGAATAATTTGTCATTACTTTTAAAGATGTTTTGTTTCTTTTTTATATAATTATTGCTTGCGTTCATCAATAAAAAAAACATCTCAAAGCATGTAAACAAGAATGACTTGTGCAGTATTATTTCTGTATATTATTATAGTATATATTAATATTTTGAATATATATTTTAATATTTTTTATTAATATTGTATATATTAAATATTAATATTTTATTTAGAGTTTTATTCGTTTGTTTTTTACTATTTCTATTTAGCTTTATTTTTATTCCAGTTTTTCATCCAAAATGTATTAGACTCTGCAGCTCTACTTTAAAACTCAATTGGTTTTTAATGAATGAATGATAACATTAGGTACTTCGAATATGAAGAGTTTACATACCGAAGGCACAAGGTCTCATCTATAGATCTTAGCGGTGGGTCTTTTGTAGACAAACACACAGGTGTGTACAAGCTGGTTCATCTTTCACACGCAGAGTCATGCTATATTTCAAGCCGTTTGCCGTGAGACAGGCTTCCCTGCCGAACACCTCACGACGCAAGCGCTCTTCACACGCTCAGAGTGATGGAGGGACTGTGTGGGGCTCCCCTGGCCTCCCATCATTTGTTAGTCTGGCTGTTTCTTGCCTGTCTGATCCCTGCTGTTATTCAATATGACACCATAGCATTACACGGCGTGATCCAGTACAAACGGCCGCTCTGCCAGACGCTAATAATCACAGCCACGCTGAAAGCAAGAACACTTGAGCTTGTTATTTATTAACCTCAGCATCCTCCATTGCTCTTGGGCTGTCAGGCTCAGACCATCCGCAGCGTCTTGGGTTCTAATCCCAAAGCCGGACTCTGATCCCTCGTCACCTCCGGAGGCTGCATTGTAGTTGATCAGGAAACGGCTCATTCTTCATGGAGGTCTTGGATGGATTCTCTGCTTTTGTACTGGAATCAGTTGTTTGGAGGGGATTGATTATTAACCCCACATGGCACACATATGAGTTCCCTCCATCATCCTGGATCAGAGAGCTGTGAAGCCATGTCTTACAGGCTGGGCTTGAGCTAAAGTTAGGCTTATTCATTTGGAACAAAGCATGGAGAGCTGCAGAGTCTAATGGACTGCAAATTATATACGCTGCAAGTGAAAAGTAATTTCTGATGATCTTCTCAAATGAATTTCTATACAACTTTTTTTTTTTTTTTAAATAAGTGGACCAGATGAGACTAAAAAAAAGTGTCTAATATGTGAAATCTGTTTTAAAATCTTCCCAGGATGATGTCCAAAGTGTGCTGAGCTGCAATCGAGAGAAGAATTTATATTGCCAGTTCTGATTTCACATTTGGTTGTTCACTATATTTCTGGAAAATAGCCAGTGCTGGGTTGTAACTGATTACATGTCATTTGGATTACGTAATCAGATTCCAAAAATTAATTACTTGTAATTAGATTATATTAAATTTTAAAATACTTGTAATCACATTACAGTTACTTTTTTTACTGATTACATAATATTCACACAATAGCAATAAATTAATCAATTTATTGATTCTGCCTAATTATTCTTTTCCATCTTTAAAATTTTCACCTAATATATTTACTTGAAGTCTCTGAGATTTTAAGGTAATAAGTTTGCAAGTAACACATTTGCATGTTCACAGTTCTCTGACATTAACTAATGGTCACGTGATGCGGAGGTAAACAAATAAAACATATTTAATCTTTTTTAGTAAGTGTTTTATTTTGATTGTAAATAAAATTGATTTCAGTTTGATTTTAAACTGATTTATTTTAGTTTGACTTTTTTATAATTCAATTAATTATTAGCTTTCATTAAACTCACAAACCCCATTTTGGGAAACCTTGACATATTGTAATGTTTAATTGACATCGCAAGTGTTTAACAACACTTCATGTTGTTAATAACAACAAATGGAATATATTTTCTTTCTCTGTGTATTTTTATATCAATATGGTACAAGATTATCCCATTTTCATCAACATGATAAACGAGTTTGGTCAAAAGTAATCTAAAAGTAATCTGATTATATTACCTTAAATGTATAATGTAATGGACTACATTACTGACTACAATTTTTGTCATGTAATTTGGAATCAGTAACGGACTACAGTTTGTAAGTAATCTACCCAGCTCTGAAAATAACTATAATAATGTGCATAGGTGTTTCCACACTTTTGAATGGGTGTAAAAATTAAATATTTGAACTATTCGCATGGTTCAAATTATCTTTATGTTCTTACATTTTTCTCTCTTTCTTTTTCAATTTTACAATTAAAGAAATACTAGCAATTAATTAAATGAAGAAAATTCTTAAGAATAACCATTTTTATAAAATATTATTCAGCTTACTGAATAATAATTATTTAAAAATTATTTCGTGTTTTACAAAAATATTTTTGCACATACAAAAATCAAGTAATCCCCAGATTTGAATATTAGCAACCAAAAAAACAACATATAAAGTGCACAATCACTACATCATGAGCGCTATGCTGTCAGGGTGATATTAAAGGGGTCCTATTATGCTCTTTTACAATGTCTTGAATTTTGAAGTGTAAATTCTGCAGATTACATCATTGTCCAGTATAGTACTGTCAGCAATTTATTATAAAAATGTTTTCATAATTGTGTAATAACTTGCGAAAATTTGAGGCTACAGCAGCACTTCTTCTTCGTTGTCGTCTTGTCTGATGCACTCAACCAAGCGTTCTAACCACGACCTCGCCCCTCCCCAACCCCCAACCATTCGAATTTCCGTAGGCAGGAATTATTTTAATGATATTCTAATGGGCCGCTTTGTGATATCACAAAACCCAGGAAAACAAACGCTGTAGTCCAAACGAGCCGTTCGTTGTAGTTCTTGAAAAGGGATTTTTTAAAAACGAAATATCCCCCTTTGGAATGGACTTTGAGATTTGTAAGTTTGAAGATCTTTTTTATGCCCAAACATACACACTGACTAAAATTCAAAAAGTGAAAAAGCATAATAGGACCCCTTTAATTCTTATTTGTATCCATTCAAAACTCACTAATCACTAATCAAACCAG